TGCTTCTGTTAATAGAGAAAAAAACAAACAAACAAACCTCAGATGTTCAATTCAGGATTCACATCTTCAGCCATACCCCTCTAAAAAGAGTGGAGAGGGTATGTACAAGAAACAACCAATCCCGAAAGAAAAGTTATTTTTACTAGCATTTTTGAAACATTCAGAAATGCTTTTGATCTTAATGATCTTTTGATTTAAAAGTTAAGATGAAATGACTGCTAAATAAAATTCATAAGCATTTATAATACCACAGTCTCAGACGTCAATAAAGTTTGCTTAAGGGAACGTGCCTGTAAATTACCTATTTGCTTTGTGTTTCACTTGAAAAGGTGCAGAACTATAATAATGATTTGGCTACTGAAAGTATAGGCTTGTGCGGCATATGGCTTTATTGAAGAGGATTTCCCCAGCAAATGTCAAAGTACAAAGAAAATCTCCTATGTTGAAAACCTTCTGTATTCAGAGTAACAAAATTTGTCTGCTTTGCTTGACTGATGAAGATTAGCTGACTTCTTGCATTAAAGAAGTTTGTCTTGGGGCTGAAGTGACAAGACAATAACTAAGTGCTAATTGCGCATAACCAGCACTAAAGATATGCAGTCCCATTATGGCATGTAATAAATGAAGCGAACACAGAAATATATTAGGTACTTTAATAATGATACTAGAATAGTATTTTGCAGCAATAAGAATGTGAACAGTTTTAGAGTTAAAATTTAGGAGTGTTTGTCTTACTTGACTGAGTTCTACTGAGGAGATAGACTTAATTGTGAATGCAACTTTTTATTTCAACGGTGAAATAAAATTGATATACGATTTGTAAATAGCATTAACAACCTACAATTACTTTGCATCATAATAGAATTTAGGCTGGGTTTAGCACTTGAGTGATGTTTTAATTTTCTGTGTAGAACATGGATAAAATAGGGGAGCCTGCCCTAATGGAAAAATGGACAAAGGGCATAAACAGGGTGTTCCCTAAAAGAAGAAATATCAAAGGGCCACTAGAAATCAAATAAATGCTAATTAAAAATTATAATAGGACACCATCTTTCATCCCTCAGGGTGACAAGGATTTCTTTTTAAATAATAATTCCCAATGTTAGAGTGAATGTAAGGGATTACATAGCTCTTACATATCTGGTGTGAGAATAACTGGTATAACTGTTCGGGAGAGCATTTTAACAATAGATAACATAAGCCTTTAAACAGTTATATATTTTGTCCAGTTAATTGTGCTCCTGTGAATTTATCCTGACACAGGCTTGAATATTGTTTATCAATATCATGTTTACAATATTATGTTGATAATACTGATAATATAAAAAGTTGAAGAGATAGCCTATACCTCTGATGATAGAAGACTGATTTAACATATGAAGCTCTATTCATAAAACGAAACACAAGAAGGCTTAAGATATCTTAAAAGAATTTGAGAAGCATACTATCGTAAATGAAGAAGTCCAAATATCAAACATTAGGATTCTTCCCTGTTTCTTTTTCTTTAAGCTGCTCAAATATATTATAAAATATATGCTATATATCATTCATCATACATGCATAAGAAAACATATGGCTAGCTATACACCAAAATATTAAAATGCCTTCTTTTAGAATAGTGAGACATGGGACAATATGATTCTTTATCCCTTTCTAGTTTCCAAAATTTCTACGATGAGATGTAACGTTTTATAAGTAGAAAAGCAGCAAGTGTTATTTTTTTCCAATACTACCATTTTATTTTTTATTTTTTATTATTATGTTAGTCAGCATACATTACATCATTAGTTTTTGATGTAGTGTTCCATGATTCATTGTTTGTGTATAACACCCAGTGCTCCATGCAGTCAGTACGTGCCCGCCCTCTTTAATACCCATCACTTGGCTAACCCATCCCCCATCCTCCTCCCCTCTAGAACCCCCAGTTTGTTTCTCAGAGTGTTATTGTTGCATAAAGATAACTGTATTGTGAGTGGATGCTGTTAGTGGATCAATATGACAAGTAAACAGAGGTATTCTAAATTTACTACTAATACGCCTTTAAAATATATACACATATATGTACACACGCATATAAATGTCTGTATGAACGTATAGATATTTATGTTCATGTGTCTATATCTTTACACGCATACTTGCCAACTTATTTTTGGCTAAATGTCACCATAGACTGAATTAACCTGCTTTGGTTCCAAAAGTTTGTTGGGAAGACTCAAGGTGTTGTAAGATGACTTTTTTTTTTTTTTAAGATTTTATTTATTTATTTGACAGAGAGAGAGATAGCAAGAGAGGGAACACAAGCAGGGGGAGTGGGAGAGGGAGAAGCAGGCTTCCTGCTGAGCAGGGAGCCCGATGTGGGGCTTGATCCCAGGACCCTGGGATCATGACCTGAGCTGAAGGCAGACTCTAAACAACTGAGCCACCCAGGTGCCCCGTGATGACTTCTTGAATTATTTCCTGGATAAATTAGATATTGCAATGTCTACTGGGCACTTGTGTTCATCTCCATTTAGCAGGAAATATTATTGAGATATATCTTTTTTTCAAGATATATATCTTGTGTAAAAACCAAGTTAGTGGAATATTA